TTTTTTTCAATTAAGCAGACACACTGAATCCAGAACCCACACATAAAGCAAAGGTCTCACGTTATAAATGATTTGTGCCAATGCGTTTAGGTGTCAATACGTTAGAAAAAGTAAATTGGTCGGGAGCAAACGATACTATTCCCATCCATCACCGACTTTTACGAAAAAGGAATCGCAAACGTAACGATAACATCGGCTTTCCTTATTGCCAACATTTTGTTTGATAAATAGTTGGAATTATTTACAACCAAGCTTGGTATTGGGGTCACTGCATTTGACCTCATTTTGTATCATATGATTTTTTTTTTAATAATATAAATATTGGAAATTTTGAAATCGACTTCCGAACCTATAAATAACGGTGATTTGTATTAACACTATATATAGACTCACGTACTTATGTATGTCACTATATTTGTATATACGGACTGCCTTGCTGGTTTCTTGGTAGCAGATGAAACTGCTAAGCAAGGAGACTAAGAAAGTTCTCGTATTTCACCACCAGAATCCAAAGAAATATCATAATTCATCGAGAGAGAGGAAGAGAGAAAATATTTAAGAGATATTATTTTTATTTTTATGTGATAGATCCACAAATGAGCTGATGGTAAGCAATCAACTCTGCCTATGGACACCAATGCAATACCATAGGTCGTGAGAGTGCGTTGCCGGACTTTTGTGGATTAGAATTATAATGAAACTGGCTAAATGGCTTAAAGAGATTTTCTTCGTAGGTCTTATATCAATTATTGAATTAAGTACACATACATACACATGAAGTATGCGGTTCAGTCCGCACTTACTATTAATAATTAACATTACCGTCAATGCAATGCTGATACTAAATTTCTCCATTGTTTAGTGGATGTTATCATACATATAAACCTTCCTATTCAATCACTCTACCTATATATATATATATATAAATAACCGCATCAAAATCCATTGCGTACTGTTAAAATACTGTTTGTCGAATAAATGTGTTTTCTTTATTTCTTAAAGATTCAAGCGTACTAGAGATATAGGGACAGAGACAGCGACTTTGTTTTACATCATGTGGTGATGATACATAGTAGCTTACTCAGTAGGTCTCTCCCTTTGAACTCCCGACCGGATTTTCATTCGGTTTTCGACAAAGAACGGAGTGATTTATAAGAAAGGTTTGCGTATTATTTATTAAGGGTTCTATGTGATTTGCCAAAACTGAGACCGAGCGAAAACGGTCGGGTCGCCAGTAGATTATTTATGTATCTCGGTAGGAAAATCCTACCAATATTATAAACGCGAAAGTTTATAAGTATGGATGGATGTTTGCGGCTCTTTCACTTTATACTACTGAATTGATTTTGAAGAAAATTCGCAAGGAAATATAAGTCCGGAATAATAGGTATGTATGCTACTTTTCATCCGAGTGAAGTGAGCGAAGCTGGTAGGTACCAATTTATTATTTCGAAATTTTAATTATATTAGGTATTTGTATTTATAAAAGTGTAGTTATTATTTTTACAAAATAACATATTCCTTACAATATTTTCCTTCAACTAATAGGAGGTTAGCCATCTTTTAATATAAATTAACATCTGCACGTCGATTCTATAAAATTTGTTTGATTTTGAATCGTGTTCGAGTGCGAAGTGAGCGTCGAAGTGACGGGTAAATTAAATTTTTGAATGCCACTTTTAACGTCACTTCATACTTTATCTATCAAAATGATGCTGTCAATTTAGTTCAACTCGCAGGTGTAGCGCTAGTGTACTACTACTCACGGCGGATTCAGATTCGAAGTTTAGAATGAAGTCTGACAGAATCACACTGCTGATTATAGTAACCTCGCGGGCTGTATGTACATAATCATATGTGTAGTAGAGATTGTAGAAAAAGTGTGGTTGTGGAACTTACCTCTTAATTGTGTAAAAGTAAAAGTGGACTTAACTCTTAATTTAGCACACATGAATGCTGGTTTTTTTTCTTGTATTTTGTTGTTAATGTACCAAATTGGATCTAATCCGTTTTAACATAAAAAAATGAATGAATATTAAGAATAAATATCTGAATCCCTGTTTTGTTATTGAGTTTATATCTGTTTCTGCCCTAAAGTATGGTAAGTTCATACTTACACTTATAATAATAACTAAGTAGTACAACCACTTAGGAAAACTATTAAGTCTGTTGTCAAACCTTTTCCGATCGGATTATGCAATACTGGAAAAGCATTACCGTAATTATATGCATTAAGACATGGAAAACCTTTCTGATCGGATTGCAAAGCGATTCGAGCCTAAGTAGGTCATAATAATAAAATATTCAGCTTCGCCATCGCACTTTTAAAACAACGGCTTCTTCATTTTATAGCCACAGTTTAAGGTATAAAGTTACAGGCGATCCTAATAAAAAACTGTTTTCGAAATACTTAAAAAATTATAAACTTTTTTAGTGGACTAAAAAACTATTAAGTGTGGGAGAGCCATGCTTCGGCCTAAATGGTTCGGCTCGACCGGAGTGATGTGTATCACTTCACACTGTATAACAAGAAAATACAATGCGGTTTCAAAATATATTTAAGTCTTTTTTTAAAGTGGTAGGTCGGCAAACGATCAGACGAATTACCTGATGGGAAGTAATCAGCGCCGCTCATGGACACCCGCAACGGCGCGGAGGAGTTACGAGTGCGTTGCCTACCTTTTGGCGCTTTGGCATTTGGAGATTTTGGGAATGAGGAGGGATTGGGCGGGGGCGAAGGATGGGGCCTCCGGTAAACTCACTCACACGGCGAAACACAACGCTGTGGTTGTTTCATGCCGATTTTCTGTGAGGCAGTCGAGCCAGCCCATTCGTGCCGAAGCATGGCTCTCTCACACTTACAGTTATACTGGATCAATCTTCATTTTTATATCTTCTAATAAAATATTATCTGTGCTAATTCTATTCAATCTGTTTATTTAAATACATATTATTAACATTATGTTGATATGATTATTCGTTTCGTTTCTAATTACATAATTACTTTGAAAGATAATCTCACGCCAACGCCTAATTTTCTTCTCAACCTTTGAGTTTCTGCTTAATATTTACAAAATAATATTTAAATATTTCTTCGTTTTAATCATTGCTAAGTAGTTGGAGGTATCTCAAAGTATTTGGATTAATAAGTTCTAATGATCAGCTCATTTTTATTTTTTTTACAAAGCAGCATAAAACAGATGTGATAAAATGTGTATCTCTTTCTGCCTATCTTTTCAAGGATTAAACTCGATTCAGAAATCCACTTCAACTTTATTTTTAAAAGTTTATTCAATAGCATATTATTATAAAGGTCAAAATTAAGTACATGAATTATTACAATTAAATAAATATATAAAATTAAAACAAAGTCATGGAAAATAGAAAATATTTAATGGCCCATAATCCGATTTTGAGTTGGGGACAGATTAACTGACCCACGGTGAGCAGTATACTTTTTGTCTCGCTAAATGGAACTAATTCAGCCGTGAACGACGACATCACAGGTTCTTCTATCTTAGCACACGAAGTAGGTTTAGCTCTAGGTAACAGTCATCCGAAACAAAAAGGCCGTTTAATGGTTTAAATGAATATAATAATAAGAACAAATAAATATTGGAGGTGTTACGATTATTTTTTTGTAATTGATACTTTTCTGACAATCTTTATAATATTATATTCTTAACATCGCCATCGAAAACCCATAAACAATTCTGTGGTCGTGCAAGCATGTCATAATTTAAACGCTCAAAGGTAAGCTATTTTAGTTATTGATAAGAACGCCCAAAAATATTACCTGTCATTCTTTTTTTTATTTAATAAGTTGGCAAACGAGCATACGGTTTACCTCAGTTTACCTGATGGCAACAACAGAGGAGTTAAGAGTGCGTTTTTGGGGATTAGGGATTTGAAGATTTTGAGATTGGGGGCGAGGAAGTATTGGCCCTCCGGTAACCTTACTCACACGGCGCAACAAAACGTTCTGGTCGCGTTATACGTCGGTTTTCTGTGAGGCCGTGGCACCACTCCGGTCGAGGAGACCCATGCGCCGAAGCACCGCTCTCCCACACTTGAAAGTCTAAGTAATTTATTCCAACTAGACCGTAAGAGGTACTTTAGAAACGTAAACATATTATAATAGTCTACCGCCAAGAAAAAAACATATAACCATTTATCAACTAATACACTTTAAATTGACTGTTATACAAGTTTTAACTAATAAATGTGAGTGCACGACTGGTGTAGGAGTCAAGCGATCAACTCTAACAAAGTTATTTATTATGTTTTCGGCTTACTCACGTAATAATTTGACGAGATACTCGACTAGTTTCAAGCCATGCTAGAGGCCCATATTCATGATCAGCATTCCGCGACACGCGACTCGGCGACTGTCGCGCTGCTACTGACAAAGTGGTTTCTACACGGTGCAACTTTAGTGGTCTATACGGTCTACAAACGGTATTTATAAATGACTGATCGACCTTAGTGAAAATCGTATATAAGAGAACGTTTTAAAAAGTTGATTTTTACAAATTTCGTTTTTTTAAGCGTTGTCCCACTCTAGTAATTTCTCCTGTGTCATGGGTGCGTTTCACAACAAAGAGTTGTTCCGTGCGGGAATCGAACCCGCGACAGCCAGTTGCCCAGCCACCGTTGAACTTCTATGCAGATCTATACAATGTGCTATGGCTTGATGTCTTTAGTTTAATTGTTTTAATTTTTAATGTAGGTACACATATTAATTGTGAGCCTATAAATGCCCACTGCTGACCAATGGCATCTTCTCCCACGGAGAAGGTTTGAGCATTCATCACGAAGCTTGCTCAGACATATTTTATAGGTAGTTATGGATAATAACTTAAATAGGTTGAGTCCTCACTCTAAAAATAAATTAAGATCTAGTATTTTAAACACTCAATGTCAAATCATAACATAGATTTGCTTTATAATTCCCAAATTGTTGAAAATAATTTACTAAATAAAGAAAACATTTTATTTTATACATCATTTATTTATATTTACATCCAAACTCGTAAATAACGTACTTACTACGCAACTGTTTGGTTGTTTATCGGTTAGAATTTTCCTGGTTATCCTCGGCCTGCCAGTTTCCATGGCAACGGAAAGTCAACTGACGGGTCCTCTGAAAAACAAACAAGTACATAGATAGAAAATTGATAAATATTATAACCCAATTGATTTAAATGGTGATTTATTATCTAAATAAATAAATTATTTAAATGAATAAATAAATAATTGAAATAAATAAATCATTATGTAAATTTTGCAATTAACACTTGATGTATTACGTACAAAGGCCAAATTAATGAAGAAATACATTCTCTACCAGTCAACCGTAAAGGTGGCGCAGAGAAGAAATTTTAGAACTAAAACTCGTTGTTGTAAAAATGTAATTCGTTACATATAAATAAATCACACTTCTCATGGTGGTCGATTGTGTGATTTTAGGTTGTTTTTTAAAAAAAATGTTAGTTAAACTTTAAAGTGAACTTTACTATAAAGTGATAAAACCTAAAGTGGCGTGCAATATTTGAGCAGAACAGCCAACAATCAAAGTTAACTAGGTGGGTAGCTCTGACTACTCCAGAAAAAAAGACACAGTCATTCAACCAATGAGATTTTTACTTGATAATATATCTATATGCAGTAAAATTGTATACATCATCAGCCCATAAGTGCCCACTGCGAAGAGCCACGAGCGAAGGCCTCTTCTCACGCAGAGAAGGATTGAGCATTAATCACCACGCTTGCTCAATGCGGGTTGGCGATTTCAAACTTATAATTAGAAATTATAAGTCCAGGTTTCCTCACGATGTTTACCTTCACCGTATGTCAGAGGTGTCTAAATAATCATAGAAAGTACATATAACTCGGAAAAAGTCACATTGGTACTTGTCAGGCCAAAATTGTATAGGTATTAGTGTATAGTACATACCATAGCAACTCGTGTTATCACCTTGAACTGTTTGTGCGACTGTAGACCTTCATTATCTTTTGTAACATAACTATAAGTTATTTGATCGGTCACCAAGTATGTTTCCCTGAAATAAAAAAATATATATTTAATATTTCACATACAAATATATAAACACACATGTAAGTTCACTGGGCCTCCGGTAACCTCATTCACATGGCGAAACACAACGCTGTGGTTGTTTTCTGCTGGTTTTTCTGTGAGGACGTGATATCACTCCGGTCGAGCCGACCTATTCGTGGCGAACTCTTCAATTCACGTATCCAAAGTATTTCTATAATTTTAATCAATCAATTGTAATTTTTTTCCTTTTAAATTCATTCTAATATATGTTTTTTATATTATTATACATATTTACATTATTTTTTTTCCTTAATACAATACATATACAATTAATTCGTGTTGTGTTTTGCCAGATAGAATAAATAAATATATGTCATTACTAATCATTATAAGAAAAAAATAATATTTATGCCTATGGTATAAAATGGCGAATAAACATTATTGTCACACAACCACAGGTGACACTGGGGATTATAGAGTTATGATTTGTGCATAAACAATTTAATATATCCTCACGCATTTACTATGATTTGTTTACAATTAATAGATAGTTGAAGTTCTGAAGTTTGTTTGTCTCGTTATTTTTAAAGGGTTAGTGATTGCACATCTGGTGCAGCAGTAAGCAACGCTAGCTGTTCTGCAACGTATTTTTAACTACCCCGTGGATTTTTTTCATTAAAGTACAGACTCAGACAGTATATCATTACCCGACTACGACAAATCAAAAGGAGGGTTATGATTTTGACAGGCTATGTATGTATGTATGTTCATCTGTTCCCTCGTAACTTCCAAAGTACTTATCAGAATTCGACATATGGCATATCTTTATTATAACTTTCGTGAGGCATTCTAAATTATTTATTATGTTTTCGGCTTACTCACGTAATAATTTGACGACTTGCAGCATTCTGTAGCAGTCATGTAGTCATGTAGCAGCACGACAGTCGCCGAGTCGCGTGTCGCGGAATGCTGCTCATGAATATGGGCCTCTAGCATGGCTTGAAACTAGTCGAGTATCCCGTCAAATTATTACGTGAGTAAGCCGAAAACATAATAAATAATATGGCATATAATTACAAAAGTCTTAGTTGTCCGCTGGTTATAGGCTATATGATGTATCACAAAATCGAATGTGGCGTCACCTAGCGGACAAAACAACCAGAGTAAAAAATGTAGTTAATATAATTATACCGTGTTTGGTATCATTTTAAAGGGCTTTACTTGTACATTTTGAATATATATATATTACTAGCATTTGCTTGTGACTTTGCCTGTATTCATACCTTTTACTACATAATATTAATTTCATCCAGTTCTTATACGTTATGTAATAGACATAAGCTTGAAGGCCTTATTTATTTACATTATACATCAATGAAATTTATATGAATAATATTGTTAAGTTACTATTCAATTGTTTTTATTCTTCTGTTGCTCTTTTGTTTTCGATTCATTTCACATTGCAAAAAGAATACCACCATTTTATAAATGAGTAGTCAAGTACAGAACGGCCGCCGTATCTTGGCGAGTCTGAAGTTATCCGTTTGTCTGCGCAATGGATCTTTTAGGAACAAAAGTTGTGTACTGCGCAGCTAATCGGCTAACTTCAGACTCGTCAAGATACGTCAGCTGTATTGTAAAATAAATACTTTTAAGCTTTGAACTTTCCTCTAATTATAGTTTCAGACTTAACCTCAAATAAAGTAGGCAAGAAATACAAAATATAAACTAAACAACTATCAGAAATATTAATTAAGATTCAACTTAAAAAAGATACTCACGGTATGGACTTGCTACACATTCTCGATTGCCCCTCGACAATCAGAAACGCTGCTGTCAGACAGAGTATTAAAGTCAGGTGATTCTTAAACATTTTTAATGTTTCTATCGTCTAACTTTGGCAGTAACGAAGAGTCAACTGAATAATTTAGGTAAAATATAACAAAATAACAACTAGTATTACTGTCTGTTTGTGTGAAGATAACACAATTATCTGACCACCACAGCGGATGTATCACCATGGATTTAAGTCAACAAAGTAGTTCGGTTTTTAGGGTTCTGTATAAGAAATCGGGCACTGTTCCGTCTTTCATAAATACCTTCACATTATACGTAGAATTAACTCAGATTCTTCTGTTACCATAATATGACCTACGAAATATTCTTCCTTTTTTGAAACCCACACAACGTTGTGATTCGCCGTGTGATGGATGCCCAATACTTTGCCTGCCACAAACCTTCTCCAATCCTCAAATCCCCAAAACCAGTAATCCTCGTAATGCTAGCAACGTACTTACAAATATCAGTTAATTCGTCTGCTAGTTTGAATCACATAAAAAAACCGCAAGAAATTGTAAAACCTTACGCCATAGCTCACTTGGAAAAAAAACTACCCTTTTGGGCTCAAAAAAAAAACACGGAACCCTTTAGCCGATACTATTGTCACACCATTATTTTGCACACACTTCCTCTGTGATAGGAAAAAAACTGCACCAACTACGATATAAACATTTTAAAAACAATAAATCGCAGGAAGAGATAAGTTTGGGACAGTATGTTTAAAAAAAAAAGTATCGTAGATAGATAGATCATTTATTTGTCATAACATGAGTTACATGCAGATGGAACAAAGAAATATATTAAAGCACAGACATGTTTGGCCTTTCGGCGTACAAATATAAAGATGAGTTTAGACAATGTCAAATGTCATTAATTAAATTATTACAATTCTATTTTTCATACTATCCACATAATAGTTATTACAGTTATAGTCATCAGTACAATCATTAATGTCAATACAATTACATTACAGTTAAAATAATTAAAATTTACAAATTACAATTAAAATAGTCCAAGCAATCTTTAAAAAATTTCATAGTCAAATGTTGTCATTTAAAAATTCAATTATGGTATAGTATGCCTTCTTAACCAAAAACGTATCATTGACTCAATCATTTTTTGCATATTGCGTGGTATGTTTTATTCTAAATTTGAATAAAGTGTGGGAGAGCCAAGCTCCGGCACGAATGGGCCAGCTCGACCGGAGTTATACCATGGCCTCGCAGAAAGCCGGCGTGAAACAACCACAGCATTGTGTTTCGCCGTGTGACTCAGGCTACCGGAGGGCCAATCCGTCCCCTCCCCCATCTCTTTCCAATCCTTAAATATCCAAAACCCTTATCCTTAAAGGCCGGCAACGCACTCGTAACTCCTTCGGTGTTTTGCCGGTGTCCATGGGCGTTTGCTCGTTTGCCGACCTATATCATAAAAAAACAGTATGACAAAAACCATTTCATTGTTTTTATCTTCTCGAATAATATCTTCTGATTCATTTTGTTGCGTAATCAAAGACAGTCATTCATGTCCCTGGGACTTTAGTGTTACTGGGTTTTCATGGTTGTACTGCTGTAGCTGCTTACGCCCAAATAAGAAAAAAGTATAATACTATTCTTCTTTCAGTACCGACTGAAACAGTCAAAGAAGAAATATAAACTTAATCACTCACAGCGCAGTGAAAATTTTACTCTGTTAATTACTTATTCCTAAAGGAGGGAGGTTGTACCCCCACAATGATTAATTGCCAATGATTAATCACCATTACAGTCGTAACACTGAAATAATTAGTATTTTCGTATTCAAATAATATTTTGTGTTAATAATTTAATACATATATACGAAACGTAAAGATCTCCTGTTCTCGAGGGCTTTTTCTAATCAGGATATTAATCTTTACTGAGTTTGTGATATTACCTGTCCTTAAGAAATATGGTTGGAAGTTGGTACGACGCGACAGCAATATTATTTTTTCTACTGTTTTTAAATTCTATCAATAATAAAATAGCAAGAAGTCTAGCTTATCGCAAATAAATACTTTTCGGTCACGTATCTTGAGACGGGTGTTATTGCTATATTAAGCTTCTATTTTACTTGCAATGTATGTTTATACATACTTATGTTTGCTTAATTGAATTTCTAATTCATGCCATTAGTTGAACGGGCTTGAAGATTGTGATTAAAACCATAGCTCTTCGGATGAAGTAGCTTAGACTACTGCTAATATATAGTACCTAATCGAATTAATATCTAATTTAATAAGAGCAATAAACAGTGACCTGTAATGTACTGCAATGACAATTATTATGCCTTTGATTCAAAGGTTTATTATTATTAATCTGGCAAGCTGCTTAAAATATATCTAAATCTACATAGTTATTTATAATTATAATTACGTACTAATAGTGAACGCGATACAAGTCACATCCGAAAGAGCAGGATGTCGTATTAAAATCAAATCTTTAATAAGTTTATTACTTATAGTATATCCTAAACATATAAGTGCATAAGGAAGTAGAATATGTATGACGGATTTATTTATTTTATAAGGTGGGGGGAATCATCGAATGACTTCTCTCGCTTTCCGGAAAATCCTCTTTTCTTCTCCTGTTCTATATTTTTATTCTGTGGGTTATATTTTTTTTCAATCGGCTAGTTATCAACCCTGTTGGACCACATCTATAGTGGTCTATTGGCAATATATGAATAGCGGTAGAATTTTGAAATGTAGGAGTTTGTGAGTAACGAAGTAAGATGGACGTCGAGACAACTCAATTACGCAGCTGGCTCGGCTGGCTGCTAGCCCGCAGACACCCGTCAACTTGTCCCAGCCTCCGTGATCACCTCCACTATATGCGCATATCGAAATTGCTTTATTTTGCATACATACACACACACACACCAAGATATCTCTAGTCTACTACTATGAACTAGGCTACGAAGTACCTTTCTTTTGTTTGTCTAGAACATATTTTTCTTGTTGTAGTTTGAAGACGTAAAGTATAGGTACTATACATATATAGTACATAGTATATAGTATATAGTATATAGTATATAGTATATAGTATATAGTATATAGTATATAGTATATAGTATATAGTATATAGTATATAGTATATAGTATATAGTATATAGTATATAGTATATAGTATATAGTATATAGTATATAGTATATAGTATATAGTATATAGTATATAGTATATAGTATATAGTATATAGTATATAGTATATAGTATATAGTATATAGTATATAGTATATAGTATATAGTATATTTATATATAGTTTGAAAACAAATACTCATAAATAAACTGCTAAGTATAAGTTTAATTTCCAGAATTTGTTTTTACTTTCTGGTACTTAACTCTAGGACTTAAGTCCAAATAGATGTTTTGAGTAAAGTTACTATTAAATTTTGTTTATACTTTTAATAAACAAATCTAGTTAAAGCTTATTTACAACAGAATACACTACAGTAGGGCTGGAAAAGAAAATTTTTTGCCGTAAAAAATCTTTTAATTGTTATATTATTAATCAAAGGATTTATGACAACAACTAACCTTCTTCGGATTAGGATTTATTACAACAAAATTAATATATTAAAATATTACATTTTCATTTGATTAAATTCTGGGAAGCAATATTAACACTTTATTCTGCAACCGGTATCTTACTCGACGGTCAACTTTTATACAACTTTGCGCGATCGTGTCATAACATAGTTGGAAATTAATATACCTGTTATCTAACAACAACGCAGTTAACTCTGTAAAAACTGTAAGCCTGTAACTGTAAACCAGAAACTATTCATATCATAATAATGCATTGAAAAAAAAACAATGTAACTTACTGGCATCTGCCTACAAAAATAGAAGTGGAAGTGGAAGTGGCACTAAAATAAGTCTTCAAGGCCCGAGTGAATAGATTGCTTATGGGTTTTTTTTTCTGAGGTGAAAATCATCAAATGACTTCTCCCGCCCAGGGCCGGGCAGGAGGGAGTGTCAGACTCTTACTGACTAAAAACCCCCCTGTTCCTTCTCCTGCTCTGTGCCGAGGTCACGGTGCCTCATTGCGCTTACCCCGCAACCCCGGCTATTAAGCGTCCTCCATCATAGGTTAGATCTTAGCTTATCACTAGGCCAGATAGCGGCCTAACGCTAGCTAAAGTAAAAAGGACTAATAAAAAATGGTGCGATATTATACAACCGTATTTAATTCTACTAATTATGTACGTCACTCAAGTTAAAATGAATCCTTAAAATCTGAAATGTCCAAGAGCCTAAAATAAATATTTTGTCAGAGTAACTAATAGCTAAGATAAAGAGTTGACGAATATAAATGCTGTCGAGAGAATCCAACAGCACATTGTGAAGCCGATGAGACAGGAAATAAACAATTTTGTTCTCCGTTTATATGCATAGGAAGAAATGGCGCTCGCAAAACCAGAGCTGCATAAATCTTTACAGATGAGGCGTGGAGTCTGAACGAAATGTATTGATTATGTTTTCAACGCGGACGGTAAAAGCATTGTATTTTTCTCAGCTAGCTTGTAACCACTTTTACCAATGATTTAAATGTCGATAGGAATGTGTTTAGACCGGTATAAAAATTTATAACTGTATAACTATTTTTTGTTATTTATTTCCAATATGCTTTGAAATTTTAATATAACATAAATAATTTTAATTCGTTTTAATAAGAATTGGGGCGTTTTTAATAAAAATCTATTTATTCCTTATTAAATGTATCTAAATTGAAATAAAATAAATATACCATTGCAACATAGTCCAGACATGTAATCTATTGACAGCCAATTAAAAACATATTACAAAGCTTTATCGTAATCTTTTGATCTTTTTATAAAACACAATAATAAATAAGCTATCGAATTATGAAAGAAAGAAAGAAAGAAAGAAAGAAAAACCATTTATTACGCCACGACATATAAAAGGAATACAGGTACACACACACAAAAATATAGTGCGTCGCAGCGCAAAAGGCTGGAGCTCAGCTTAATACTGTGGCCCGAGCACGAAGGCACGAGTCCACGGCGCTGATTTTCAGCATCAGC